GACCCGGGCAGGTCCTCGGGTCACCGGTTCACCGGTTCAAACGTCGGGTCACCGGGTCAATTGTTGAACTGGATAATTAATATTAAAATTTTTAAAATTATATATAGAGTATTTTTGTTATATAAATATACATAAAAGTAACAAAATTAAATATTTTGTGCATAAAATTTGTATATTAAAGTGTTAATAATATGGATCTCATGATAAATATTTACCATATAAACATATATACATAGTTTTATTTTTAAAAAACAAAAAAAAATAAAAAATATATATGGACCGGGTCAACCCGGTTGACCCGGCCGGGTCAATGCCCCGGGTCGGCCGGGTCTCGGCCGGGTTTTGATCGGGTTTGACCGGGTCCTTGGTTGCCCGGTCCAAATACTCCACCCGGACCGGTACCGGCTCCGGTCGCCCGGGTCCCGGGTCGACCCGCCGGGCCGGTCCGGGTCACAAAACACTGGTTTATACAGTGCTTAAAAGAAATATCAAGAATTTTAATGACACAAATATCAATAAATTTAATGGTACAATTGTTTATTTCACAAAGATACTTATGAACTGTTAGTAGAAGTACCTTATAATGATCATACAATCATCAAGTTTGACTATATGTTTGGCTAACGTATTTCTAAGTGTTGAATAAAACAGACGTTTTGTCAAATTAATTAAGAAGAATTTTGCAATACTATTGATATATTAGAATTCAACGAGTATGAATGTTTCTTATGAGAACATCAAAATCAAAATGAAAGAAAATGACTCTTGAATCTAACATAAATAAATAAAAGAACCCATGCATCTATAGTATACATTATGTCTTTATTTAGTCATTTATTGTTTTTTATTAGGAACTCATTTTTCATATATTTTTGTTGGGGTTGTAATATGATATTTAAATCTTTTTATGTTACGGCATCATTTTGTTATTTAAAAAAATGCATTAAAAGTTTATTTATTCTACATTTTATTTTGTTCCTGCAATCATATGTGTAATAAATTAATTAATTTATCTTACTAAATTTAATAGGTAAAAAACATTCGTCACCACGTGCAATACTAGTATAAAGTAAAAGGGGCCACAAGTGGACTTTTATCCTTGCAAATTAATCAAAGCGTGGAGTAGGAGGTGATGATTAACATAACATGTGGAAATTAAAAAGAAAACAAGAAAAAGGAAAAAGAAAAAGCACAAGCACAAAACAGTAGTTTTTGCATTGACTAGCTACTACAGTAGTGAAGTCAAGGGCAGCTGTTGGGGAGGAACCCAACTCTCTTTCCGGCGACATCAAACACCACCTCATATGTCTTCTGTTGAGTGTTGGCGAAAAGCACCGAAAACAAAGGATCGTCATCCTTTCCGATGTAAGCAAGGCACACTATTGATTTGTCGACCACAAAAAGCGTTCCAGATGCATCCAAATCGACTTCCACATTGTTCTTGAAGGTGAAGGTGACAATCGGGACGGTGGCGGGTTTTGTGGTATTATTAGGAGTGAAAAAACAAGTATCCAGAGTGTTATTATCTTTGGTTGTGTAAGGCGGTGCAGATGTGAATCCGTGGTTGTTGATCATCTGCTTCTTGAATTCACGGCTTAATGGGGCGTATGCTTGCGGAGGGAGAATGCCGAAAGTGCTTACTGTGCTTATCAACGTGCCTCCCGAGAAGACTGCCGGGCTTATCTCCAAGTAGAGTCCGCCACGGCTATAGAGACAGTGTCGACGAAGTAACTCTTACTATAAATGTTACCGGGCAAGTTGGTAAGTAAGGGTGTGAATCTGGTATTATTATTATTATATTTATCCCAACCCTCCTCCTTTCCAAGTGCAAGAAAGCCTAGGGAGTTGTTGTTGGAAGGGAGGCAGTAGGAGAAGTAGCTGTTTGCAGCAGTTTGGGAGACAATGGAAAAGTTGCCCTTGCCGAGGCCCATATATCCGGCTTCAACACCAACAACCTGTCCCCAACTGGATTGGCTACACCCAAACACAATATCTGCTGCTGCACTACTTTTACAGTCGTCGTTGTTTGGGTGTAAGCTGGTAAGTTTGTCCCTACTCAAGAATCCAATGGAGACAGCCTCGAAATTGTAGTATGGGGCGCTGTAGACGCACGTGTTGCGTGGGGAGTAGCTGGGGCCAAATATGGTCTCGTTATAGAGAAGAGAACATTGGGGGGAATCGAAGGAGAAGGCGGAGTACGAACTCGACTTGCGAGGCTCGAATATCGGATCCCTTTGAGGATTATAGCTCACAAGGCACGGCATGCATTGAGTCCACATAATGTTGGAGGTTGCATCGAGAATGAGGGAATTTGGTGTTGGAGGTGTGCCGAGGCCAACCGTGACCGCGAACACGTATTCGTTGGCTCCCTCAGAGGGGAAGGAGGTCCGCACGGGAAAGCATGCTCCCGCTTTTGTGTGTTGGGCGCATGGATTCACTTTCATCGTTTTCAAACCTGCAGATTATTCATATGTAGAGTGCAATATATATATCAATTGTTATTTTACATACATATATACTTTCATCTGTCATCCATCATTATTACCACAAGATGGAATATTGACTAACAAGCCCATTAATCTAGCCTTAATTAC